ATAATTGACCCATCATGTCATCTAGATAAACAGAAAAGACTAAAAAGTTCAAGTTTAGTTTTGCCTTTATTTCATTTTGTCACCATGAATGGAGGTCATTTAGTACCCAATGCTTGGCAATCTTTTGTTGAAATGATTTATGAATTCGTTCTAAACTTAGTCATTTAACAAATAAGTGGTGTACCAGCAGTTAAACAACGTTTTTTTCCTTTCATCTTTGTCCTGTGTGCGACGTTAAATAATTCTCGAGGAGTTTGGGGGATCTCCTTAAATGCCTCTTGATCAGCAGTAGAGTCATGTATTGACAACTTTAGTAGCAAAAGGAGTTTAGATTAGAGTCGGTGTCTGGGTAAGTCAAGTGGTGAGGAGTGGGACTATCAGTTGGTCGTGCGTCTGACACCATGGATGATTACCCCATGTTTGCGTTGCTCACGGGCTTCTCCTTGTGGGGAGCCTTGTACAATCTCTTCCTTCCTCTGGGATTCTGTTGCATAGTCAATTTGGCCTTAACCACTAAATCTGGGCGACAGGCCACTACTTATACTGTAGAGCAGGAGGAGAGAGTTGCCGCCATCTTGAGGGAACAAAAGGAGGAGGGGCTAAGAAGTTGGCTTTGTAGGAGGAGCAGGTGGCGAAGAAAAAAAATTCAAGGAGGAGATGAAGTGACTGCTGAAAGACCAGGAGGACAAAATTGCAGAAGTCGAGAAAGAAGAAGAAGAAGAAGAAGAAGAAGAAGAAGAAGAGGTCCCAGATACCCCGCTGAAGGGAATGGCAAGATGGATTACAGAAGAAAGAGGAGAGACGAGCGGCACCTCAGTAGAGAAGGAAGAAGTGGGCAGGATGATTGGGGAATGGGCCACCAAATTGGAGATAGGGGAAGACCAGGTGGCGAAGTTGCTTATTCCCCAGGTAGAGAAGAAAGTGGTGGAGGAGGTGGAAGGAGAAGATAATTTTTTGCAGCAGGAGAAGTTATTGGAATGGGAGTTGTGTCTTGCAAGGGAGAAGAAGAGGAGGTTACAAGCGGCAAAAAAGGCGGAGAAGGATTTGAGGGTTGCAGAATAAAGTTTGGGTAAGTTGCCTAAGGGGGTAGATGTGAATCAGCGATTAGATGCCCTAACCGAGACCATGGCTGCTGTGTTGAAGCCTCAACAAGATCAGCTTAAGCACCTCAAGGGACATGACGTAGCCATTGAGTCCATCTGGTTGGGCTTCAAAGATTTTGCATAGACAATCATGACGCACATGAGCACAGAGCTGCACACCCTAATGGAAGGGATGCAGCAATACTGCGTTGGTGCCAAAATGGCTAGTCCCAAGGAGGAAGAGCAGCGACCGTGCCAAGAACGTGTAAAGGTTAGATTTCCTGAGCCCTTCAGTGGAAAGAAGGGGGAGGATTTCAATAATTGGTAGGCTAACGTCAAGTCCTACCTGCACTGCAAAACATCCCGCCGGAGGACCAGGTCCTCATTGCTTTCCAGGCACTAAAAGGTGAAGCGACTAGCTTTGCTAGATTGCTTGCGCGCGCTGCTCATTGTGATAACGATATGGTTGCCTACTCTGCGGTAACTCATCTGAGTGAATTCCTTGCCGCTATTAGGGAGAGGTTTGCAGATGTCACTAGAGGACTAAAGGCGTATGACAAATTGCAAACCATCCATACCCGACTGTGGAGGAGCACCCACGCTCTCAAGGCTGCTATGCATGAATTGGTAGTTGTGCTTGACCATGGGGTCACCGAGTCACACCTTGTCCAGTTGCTCTACCGCGCGATGCGTGAGCCGTTGCAAGGGCACTTCTTTGAGAAGAAGCAGCATCTCGGTATGACTTATGATCAGTTGAGTAGGGATGTTGTTGCTTTCGCTGCCCACTCTATGCAAGTTACCACTTTCTCGCCTGAGAGAGACAAAGAGAGAGAATGTTCAAGCCCTCAAGCCACAGCAACACAGTATCCAATGAACTCACGAGCCAATGTTCAAGCCTTCAAGCCACACCAACACAGTATCCAATGTCGCTCCTACTGTGTGGAGCCCAGCGCCCCTCCTACTCTACCTAGCCTATACTACTATTGCCACATTCACGCAACAGATGTCAACACCATAGATGACCTCCCTCATGCACCAGGTACGTATATCGTCTCCCTCATCATTTCCTCACCACCCACACTTAAGCGCCTCCTCCCGAAGACCCCCTGTTGCCCATCACCTACACATCCTCCCTGCAGCCTGTGTTATGAACTTGGTAGTCTGACGATTTTCACCGCCACTCACACACAGACAATCTCATACACGCCCATACATGCATAAGAAGGGGAGAGGAGACAGAGTACATGCTGTACATAGATGAGAATAGGCAGCAGAATACAACCAGGTACAGGTGTGGAGAGGACACAGAGTGTTTCTCACTCTCTGACAATACTCTCAACAACCAATCACAAGAAGACACCTGAAAGGATAACAATAGGATTCACCCTGATGATGAGCCAACTCAACCCAATTGTCGTTACAGAATTTGTTCCAGCATCTCACCACCCTCAGTACTCCACACGCCACTCTCTATCCTACACCCAGCGACTAGCGCAACCCTGAAATGGCCTCCCGGAGGCTAGTGCCAACCGCTTGGATGGAGAATAGGTGCTGCGATGAAGTCTTCAGCGCTGATGAACAACCCTGACGAAGAAACTGGCAGCTATGGCTGCCACACCACTGATGAAGCCCTGATAACTCCAGAGGAGAGATGGGCGACAGTGGTCCACCCACGAATACTCAATGGAGAGCCTCAGTATAGCCCAGCCAAACGCAGATACCCTCAGGGGGAGATGCTTTGAGGATGCCCCAACTACAGCAACCTCCAAAAGGCTGGCTATGGCTGCTGTCCACGGTGAGAGTCTTGGGATGCCGCCTGTAGACAATCACCTCCACCAACCTTCTTGGCTCCAAACACTGCGTTCGAAAATGAACAGCCAAAAATCCCTAAACTACCGGCTCAGTCCTATTAATAAACTGACCTCCTCTAGACCTAGACCTACCGGGACTGGTACCGTTTCAGTTTGGCTTGTTCGGCCTGGACCCTATCCGGCTATACGGCATGAAACAGTCGCTACAGCCCAAGGCTTGTTGGGCCTGCTGTCCTAGTGATAGCCCGGTACTGCTAGAGGCAGTGAGGGTACTAGAGGAAACTCGTGGCTTTACTGGAAATGTAATTTTCCCAAATTTACAGGTTTGTCCCTCCTGAATTTCCCTCGGATTGAACTCACGGTTAGTCCCTGACACAAACAAAATTACGAATCTAACCCTAGGACTTGACTGTATGACCTCGAAGTCAGATCGTGGCAGCAAAAATCAGCAAGTCATTGCAGGCTTACCCTCCCGGGGAGCGAGGACCTCCGAGCTAAGGGTGCAGACGAGGAGATCGGCGGGGAAGGTTCCCTTTCTGAGCGGCCTCGTAACGAAGTACTACAGACTTTGCGGTCTTGAGAAGTTCTTTCCTGGTGAACCACCTATCCTCGGTATGAGGCTGGAAAAAGAACTTCACGAGACACTGCCGGTCGGGGCCAGTGTCCCACTCATCCTCGATGGACTCCACGTCATATCCCTTGTGGGGGATCGGTGGACCAAACTGAGGGGGCCGGTCTGGGAATGCATTAGTTGGGATGAAGGGAAGCAGGTTAGATGCATGGAAGACCGGATAGGTCTGTAGATGCAGTGGGACGTCGATAACGTACGACGAGCCAAAATGATCGGAGCCCGCTGTATCTAACACTTGCCACGGACCCAGGTATCGTGGCAACAACTTGGGAGAGATATCCTCTTCCCTGGACAACTCTGAATTGGCTACCAAGACGTAATCGCAAGTACGAATGGGGGAAGGACGTCGGTGGCGATTAGCTTGTTCAATCATGGCCTTTTCAGTCTTGAACAAGTTCGCCCGTGCCCTTCCCACATCGGCTCTGTACCGTCTGGTAAACTCCGTAGTGCCAGGAGTCAGATCAGACTTAGCCTTATTGATGATGTCATCAAGAGGCTGTCGTGGCTCACGTCCCCAATGCAAACGATATGGACCGAACCCAGTTGAAGAGTGGATAGAGGTAATATAAACAAGTTGTGCACGAGCCAGGTGGAGATCCCAATCCTGTTGATCTGGAGAGATGACAGGTCGCATCAACTGAAACAAGACTTGGTTCATCACTTCAGCCTGACCATTGGCTTTAGGATGACGACCATAAGTCATGTCCAATCGTGAGTGTAGGTAGTCCTTGCAGTAGGAGTGCCACTCATTGTTGCAGAATCGTGGATCTCTATCACTGACTGTAGAAGTGGGCGGTCCATGGTGAGTGACCCACCTCTCTGAAAACGCTGCTCTCACAGCGGGGACCCTAGCTACTTTTGGCAAGGGGATGAACTTCGCGTACTTAGAGAACTTGTCCACACAGACCGTTACCTGACGCATGCCACGAGGGGTGGTCTTGCCTAAATCTGTAACTATAGAAACAGATTCAGCAGGACCATCAGGTATGGGCAAGGGTTTGAGCAGTCCCAGAGGAGGTCTACGCTGGACCTTATTTCTCTGGCAGAGCTCACAGGTTTCAATATTCTTCACTCCGCATCTACTTCCAGAAGAAGCGCTGCGACAGGGCTGCATATGACTTTAGGAACCCAAAATGGCCTCGTGCATCATGGCACTCTGACTCCAGCAGAGTCCTTAGTCGCTGGTCCTGGGGAATGCACAAGCGCTCCTCACCCCTGCTGTAAGTGTACAGCAAGTCTGAACTCAGGGCGTAGCCTGGTTCGGAGTTGGGATTTGCTTGCAGATTCCTGACTATGGGTCCATAGGTCGGGTCTTGAGGTAGTAAACGGGCAATGGTCTGATGGGTCTCCTCTCCAAAGGAGTGAGTAGAGGAGATAAGCACAAAAGCGTCAGGCCTACGAGAGAGGGCGTCTGCTACTTTGTTGTAGCAACCCTTCTTATGTTTCAGTTCGAAGTCAAACATGTCAGTGAATTGAATGTACCGTGCTAGTTTATCATTTAACTCTCCTTGGGACTTCATCCACTGTAGCGTGGAACATAAAAGATCTTGAAGTGCCTTCCCAGGAGAAAGTGCTTCCAATGCTTCAGTGCACAGACAAGAGCATACAACTCTTTCTCGTAGGTAGAGTTCGGAAACTTATGAGTCTTCATCTTCTTGCTCATGAACTCTACATGATGTAGACCATTCCCATCATCGTGCTGAAGAACTGCCCCAATGCCATACCGACTGGCATCAGTGGTCAGGATAAATGGCAAAGTGGCGTCAGACAACTTCAGCACTGGTGCACGAGTGAAGGCCTTCTTGAGTAGTGTGAAGGCCAACTGACAGGGGAGGGACCAAAGAAAAGGAGTGTCTTTCTTTGTTAGGTTAGTCAGGGGTGCGGCCACCGCAGAAAAGTTCCTGACAAACTTCCTGTAGTACGAAGCCAAACCCATGAAGGACCTGACATCCCTCACTGTCTGTGGTTGGGGCCACTCCTGAATAGCATCAATTTTGGCTACTTCAAGGGTCAGCCCATCTCCAGAGATTACATGACCCAGATAGATGACAGAGGGAACTCCAAAAGAGGACTTCTCTCTGTTGATCTTATACTGGCTGTCACGTAACGACTGAAGAACCAGAGCCAGATGCTCCACATGCTCCCTGGCAGTTCGGCTGAATACCAAAATATCATCTAGGTAGACGACCATGAACTTGTCCAGGTAAGGCCGGAAGATGCGGTGCATCTCAGTCTGGAAGGTACCTGGGGCATTGCAAAGTCCAAATGGAATAACCAGATATTCATAAGTACCATATCTGGTTTTGAAGGCTGTCTTGTAGACATCCTCCTCTGCCATCTCAATCTGGTGATAGCCAGATTTGCTGAACACTGTGCAGCCCTTTACCATATCCAGCAGGTCATCGATCCTAGGAATAGGCTCTGTACGTTTTTCGGTGATCTTGTTGAGTCCCTGGTAGTCAATGCACATCCTGAACTCTCCATTCCCTTTCGGGACGAAGAGCACTGGCGCGCGGAACTCAGATGTGCTCGGCCATATCCAACCTTTGTTGGTCAGGGTCTGCTTTCTTAGCTCCTCAAACTCAGCAGGGGACATCCTGTAGATGCGGCCCTTGGGAGGGACCGCTCCAGGTAGCAACTCGATGTGATGCTTGGTTGGCTGGTTGGGCAAACCAGAGGGCTCCTGCATCAGATCAGCATACTGATCCACAATTTGCTGTACTTCCGGAGGACAGGAAACAGGTGCAGCGTCTGTTTGCTTGACCAGAGCTAAAAACAAACGCTCATGGTCGTACCGGCGGGAGAGGGAATAAAACTCTCCCGCTCTCAAACAATAGCAAGATGTCTTTGGGTGGTGTTCAACAACAATCCTGCAAGTCTGATACACCTCCTGTTCATTGGGGAGTTCAACCTTAGGGATCTGCTAGTCGATCCTAGGGTTGACTGCCCTCAGCCACTACATCGAGAAGACTACATCAAAGGGTAGGTCAGGGAATATGTAGAAGTTCGGACAATGTCTGACTTCCCCAGCATTGTCGAAGGTAACAGTGATACCCCTGACCTTCTCCCTGATGGTGATAGTAGTGGAGTCACCTATCCTAACCTGCAGCGGATGCTGCAGTTGCTCAACCTGATGTGATTAATCAGGGGCCGAAGCAGGATGAGGTCAGACTTGACTTTCCATTGTTCTTGCAGATGAAAGAAAAAGATAGCCAGTGTTTGCAACTCATGCTCCTATATCCTGATCATGGTCAGGATCCTTATAACAAAAGGATGTTGCCTGCGCAACTCCCTCTGCGGTGTCTCAACTGAAGCAGTTGCAGATTCATCTTCCTCTGATGACGAATGTGCAACACTGGAGGGAACTACAGTCCCTAGGATTTGCTTCTTTTTTTTGAATGATCCGGGCCTGGCATGTAAGGGCAGTCCTTCAAGAAGTGCTGACCCTCACACCGCAGGCAGACCCCTCTATCCTTTCTTCTTCTCCAGACTCCTTCCTGGATCTTGAGATCATGCCAGGGGAGAGCAGAGGGAGTGAGCGTGTCAGCTGGCATACGAACGTCTTTTGGCAGGTTAGGGCGCCGGACAGGGGTAGAAGGACGACGTCCCTTGTCCTTCCCCTTGATACTGGTTGAGGCTGTAGTGGGAGAAAACCTTTTCTGCTGCTGCAGAACTCCCACAGCAGCCTGAGTCAGGGCCGCTGCAACATTTGTATCAGCAGCTGACTAAGTCCCAGCTGATGGTACATCAGCCTGGGAGTCTGTATCACTGGCTGATCCAGATTTTGCATGTGCAGAGGAAGCCTTTCCCTTTCTGCCACCACGAGGGAAGGCTCCGTCTCTTCTATTAGAAGAGGGGCCTGGGCATGTAGCTTTGCCTTCATGTCCGGGGCTGCACGGCCAAAGGATCTCCAGTCCTTGTGCCCAACACTGTATAAATCAACAACAAACTTCTCAGGCGCTGCCTTGTAGAAGTTGGTTAGCAGATCATCTGCTGACACGACCAACGCAGGGGTAGGGGTGAGTTGCTCGAACTCTGCAAACAAAGATTGCAGTGGCCCGCTGTAACGCTGCTGCCCTAGGCAGAGCAATCCTGACAGCAGCTTTGCGGGCCCGCTCCTTGTCTGCAAAGCGGTCCTCTAGGGCCTGCAAAAGTTTGTCCACCCCCAACCCAAAAGCCAGTCCTCCAGGCGCTGCTCCTGGCTGTTGGAGGTTGGGGTAGCCCCTCCAGCAATCCCAGCACCGTGGCAACCTTGGTCTGCTCTGCACATATAAAGCCTCTCAAGTAGGCTTTGGTGCCTGCAGTCCAATCCCGCACTTTGGGATCATCGCCTTTGAACTTGTTGGGGGCTGGAATCTTGGGCCCCCTTTGATCACCTGCAGGAGCAGAATCAAGCATTGGGCGGCCTGCGACTTTTTGGGAGGGAGGTGGTGAAGGGGAAGAATGGCATGAACCAGAGGGAGATGGAGTAGGAGAAGGAGAAGGTTTTACTTTGGGTACAGGAGGCTGGGGAGTGATCAGCTTGGCTGTTGTCAGCTGAGCGGTCAGAGCCTGAATTGTATCCAGTAGCTTTGACTGTTGAGCCGCCAAGTCATCAACTTTGCGCTCAAGACGGCCCATGAGATCATCCCAATTGGTGAAATAGGAGCTGGTGGCTTTGTGTTCCAAAATGGCCCACTCCACCAAGTTCCTGGTCACCTGGGTGCAACGCTCATCTGACATGGCCTTGGTTAACTGCTCCAACAGATACTCTCCACGTGAGGCATTTGTTGCAGCCTCTAGTTCGACTGCCTCATGTCTCTCAAGTTCTGCAAGCAGCGCCTGCTCCTGCGGCAGTCTATCCTTTAACTCCTCCTTCTGTTGAGTAGCAATCAAAGGTGTAGTGGAGGGGGAGGCAGAAGGCTGTTGAACTTTTGTCTTCACTTCGACCGCTCCCTGTGGCTGCTGATGAGCTTCCTGATCCACCATTTTTCGCTTTCAGATACACACTAGTTAGTGGACAGAGAAGGGAGTATGCAGCGATATACCAATTCCTTCAGACACTCAGAAATCGCTGCTATCTCTTGCACAAACGTAGGTGGGTGAATGGGCAACAAATGATTGGGGTTGGAACAGTGTCTCTGGAGGTCAGCGGTCAGATAGACAGACAGTCCAGTAAAATCAGTCACACAATTTCCTGTTATTGACCCTGCACCTTAACTGGAGTTAGTACAAAGAATTCCAGTGACCCAGAGATATCCTAGAAATCCAGAGCCCACTAGAAAACAAGAGGATACAATGGGAGAGAGAAAGAGTGGTAAGTATAGACAATCACAGACCAACAAGATGTAATGATTTGGTCAGTAACCTTCAATCCTACCACAGACTCAAATTTCGCCACTGTTGACTCTGACAACCATACCCAGAGGTATGGCGATTTACAGTATTCACTGTAATTACTCAAATAGTGATAATCTGGTCAAGCGCTTCTGTACAGATGACACCAACAAAATTGCGATTCAATATAGACTGACAGAATTGAATTATGACAGGCAGAATTGTAGTTGCGGCTAACCCTAGACAGCCCGAGCTATAAATAGACTTGTACACGTTGCTCTTAGGAAGCGGTGCTTACGCATCTCGGTTCGAATCCGATCGATGACATTTTTATTCTTATAGAAATCGCAATAATTATATTTATATCATTCTATTTCTATTTGTTTTTTATTCTAGCTATATTTATTATAAGCATATAGTAAATATGAGTACTTCTCCAATATAGAATTCACATTCTGAGCATACAGGATTCAGCGCAATACTGCCATGTAGTCCCAGAACAGATTTGAGATAGAGAGAGTCAGCAGAGGGAGAGATATGAGAAAGTGAAGATAGGAAGAAGATGGCTATGGCTGTCATGCAGTCAGACAAAACTAAATTTGGACTCTGGTAGACAGATAGACCATCAATTCTGACTATACTGACACTAAATACTTCGCTATACAAAAATCTGTGTGGAACGTACCCACTTTCAGTGTGCTTTTGTTGCTTCTATTGCTTCTGCTGCTTCCGCTTCTTCTTCTTCTTCCTTCTTCCTTTTTCTTCTTCTTCTTCTTCTTCTTCTTCTTCTTCTTCCTTCTTCTTTTTCCTTCTTCTTCTTCCTTCTTCTTCTTCTTCCTTCTTCCTCTTCTTCTTCCTTCCTCTTCTTTTTCCTTCTTCTTCTTCTTCTTCTTTCTTCTTCTTCTTCTTCTTCTTCTTCTTGCTCTTCCTCTTCCTTTTCCTCCTCTTCCTTTTCCTCCTCTTCCTTTTCCTCCTCTTCTTCCTCTTCCTCTTCCTCTTCCTCTTCCTCTTCCTCTTCCTCTTCTTCTTCTTCTTCTTCGGCGGCTTCGGCTTCGGCTTCGGCTTCTACTGCAGCTGCTGCTGCTTCGGCTTCGGCTTCGGCTTCTTCTACTGCTTCGCTTCGGCTTCGGCTTCGGCTTCTTCGGCTTCTTCTTCTTCTTCGACTTCTTCTTCAGCTTCTTCTTCTTTTTCTTTTTTCTTCTTCTTCTTCTTCTTCTTCTTCTTCTTCTTCTTCTTCTTCTTCTGCTTCTTCCTCCTCTTTTGCTCCTACTTCTTCTTCCTCCTCTTTTGCTCCTGCTTCTTCTTTTGCTGCTGCTACTGCTTCTCCTTCTCTTCTTCTGCTTCTGCTCCTGCTTCTTCTTCTTCTGACCTCTTCCTCTTCTTCTTCTTCTTCTTCTTCTTTTGCTTCTGCTTCTTCCTCCTCTTTTGCTCCTGCTTCTTCTTCTTCTGCTGCTACTGCTTCTCCTTCTCTTCTTCTGCTTCTGCTTCTGCTTCTGCTCCTGCTTCTTCCTCTTCTGCTGCTACTGCTTCTCCTTCTCTTCTTCTGCTTCTGCTTCTGCTCCTGCTTCTTCTTCTTCTGCTATTCCTGCTTCTCCTTCTCCTGCTTCTCCTTCTCCTGCTTCTCCTTCTCCTTCTTCTGCTGCTCCTGCTTCTTCTGCTCCTGCTTCTTTGTCTGCTTCTGCTTCTGCTGCTGCTGCTGCTTCTTCTGCTTCTGCTACTGCTTCTGCTTCTGATTTTGCTTTTGCTGCTGCTTTTGCTGCGTTTGCTGCTTCTGCTGCTTCTGGTGGTTTTGCTTCGTCTGCTGCTGCTTCTGCTGGTTTTGCTTCGTCTGCTGCTGCTTCTGCTGCTTCTGCTGCTGCTTCTTCTGCTGCTTCTGCTTTTTGCTTTTGCTTTTGCTTTTGCTTCTGCTTCTTCTGCTGGTTCTGCTTCTGCTTCTTCTTCTGCTTCTGCTTCTGGTGCTTCTTCTTCTTCTTCAGCTTCAGCTTCAGCTTCAGCTTCTGCTTCTGCTTCTTCGTCGTCTTCTTCTGTTTCTTTTTCGTCTGCTTCTTCGTCGTCTTCTTCTTCTTTTTTTGCTTCATCTGCTTCTGCTTCTTCGTCGGCTTCATTTGCTTCTGCTTCTTCGTCTGCTTCGCGTGCTTATGCTTCTTCGTCGTCTTCTTCGTCTTCTGGTTCGTCGTCTTCTTCTTTTGCTTCTTCGTCATCTTCTTTGTCGTCTTCTTCTTCTGCTTCTTCGTCGTATTCTTCGCCGTGTTCTTCTTTTGCTTCTTCGTCGTCATCGTTGTCTTCTTCGTATTCTGCTTCTTCTTTTGCTTTGTCTTCTTCTTCGTCTGCGTATTCTACTTCATCGTCTTCTTCTTCTTCTTCTTTTGATTTTGCTTCTTCGTCGTCTCCTTCGTCTCCTTCATCCTTCTGCGGCAGCTTTTGCTTCTGCTTCTGCTTGTGCTTCTTCGTTGTCTTCCGCTTCTCGTCGTCTTCTTGTGCCCCTTCGTCTTTTTCTTCTTCTGCTTCTGCTTCATCTGCTTCGTCTGCTTCTTCTTTTTCGTCGTCGTCTTCGTCGTTTTTGTAGTCGTCTTCTTCGTCTTCTTCTAGTTCGTCTTCTTCTTTTGCTTCTTCGTTGTCTTCTTCTTCTGCTTCTTTGTCGTCGTCGTCGTCTTCTTCATATTCTGCTGCTTCTTCTGCTTCGTCTTCTTCTTTGTCTTCGTATTCTGATTCGTCTTCTTCTTTGTGTTCGTATTCTGATTCGTCTTCTTCTTTGTCTTCGTATTTTGATTCTGCTGCTGCTTCTGCTTTTGCTTCTGCTGCTGCTTCTTCTGCTGCTTCTGCTTCTGCTTCTGCTTCTGCTTCTTTTGCTTATGCTGCTGCTGCTTCGTCGTCTTTTGGTTTGTCTTCTTCTTCTTCGTCTTCTGCTTCTTCGTAGTCTTCTTCTTCTTCTTCTTCTTCTGCTTCGTCTTCGTCTTGATCTTCTGCTTCGTCTTCTTTTTCTTTGTCGTCTTCTGCTTCTGCTTCTTGATTGTCTCCTTCTTCGTCTTCGTCGTCTCCTTCTTTATCTCCTTCGTCGCCTCCTTCTTCGTCTTCGTCGTCTCCTTCTTCGTCTTCGTCGTCTCCTTCCTCGTCGCCGCCTCCTCCTTTGTCGTGTCCTTCGTAGTCTCCTTCTCCTTCTCCGTCTGCTTCTCTGTTACGGACTCCACCAAGGCTCGATCCCTGGTCTATCTTTTTTGCTGTTTCGGCTGCATCCTGTTTTCGGTCTGGCACCCTTTTTCCAAACCCCTCCTTTGGTACCGTAGGATTTTGGACAATTGGCGCCATGCTGCAATTCGGGCGCCACTTTCAAATACCGCATTTTTCAGTTCTGCCCTCGGGGCCTTTGCAGAAATGCCCCTGGTACCGTACGTGTCACCGGTACTTATACCGGCTCCCCGTACGGTACGGGGACCAGTCTCTTACCAGTTTCCTGCTGTACTCGTACTCAGTGTGACTTGCTTCGACATTGTGTTTGGAAAACCAAGACATCGACTTTGCGACTTTGCCACCTCGTGTCTGCGTCCGTTGAGTCGTGTCGAGTCTGCGTCGAGTTGAGTGAGTGTGTGTGTGTGCTTTCACTCTCTCCCTCTCTCTCCCAGCCTCATTGCCTCAATCCCGTCACACTAGTATCGGAGCGGTTCGAAACCGCCCGGCCCACCTATGAAACACCCGTGGTCCGCGGGGTCGAGCTCGGAGGGCGGCCATATTCATGTCCGCAGCCGGGGCTGGCCTCGGCCGCGCCTCGGACATGAATTTACAAAAATTTTCCTGAAAAAAGTAATGGGTAAAAAAAAAAAAGGGGTTGTAGGGATTTTCAAGCCCTACAACCCCATGTTTTTTTTTTTGGAAACCGATCATTTTTTAGAATTATAAAAAATAAAAAACAGAAAAGGTGGAGAAGAGAAATTGAAAAATAAATTTAAAAAAAAAGTTTTTTGGGGGGGCGATTTTTGGTTGGCAGTCCGTTGTATTCTTTTTTTTTTTTTTTTACAACGGAACAATGTCTTTATAAAAGCCGGGAACCGGGCCCGGCATCCCTTACAAAATTAGGTGGGGCCCTCAATGGGCAAGGCATCATCAACCAAACACATAGAGGACACCACTAGATTTAACCCCACAGCCAACTCCACAACCCTAACAACTCAAAAAGTCAACGAAAATTATCGTCACAATCTAAATAATCCCTAAGAAATGAAATACTAAGAAAATCTAAATTCGTTTTTAGGTTTTTTTTTCCGGGGCGTATTAGTATTTGTGTGTGTGTGTGTGTGTGTGTGTGTGTGTGTGTGTGTGGTGGGTGGCGGGGGTGTGGGGCGACCCCTCCCTCACCAATCAATCAATCAATCAATCAATCAACGAAAAAAAAAAAAAGCAAAA